TAGTAGAGAATAGGACAGACAGCAGAATACATCAGACACTAGAAAGGCAATATGTCAATCAATGGAAGGGAAACTGATGTGATACAGCAATTTGTATACGGGGTAAAAGCGGGAGTTCATAATCCACGTGAATCAACTGTGTAATATGATTTATTAAGAACTATGTAATGTTATGAACGACCAATAAAAAAAATTCAAAAAAAAAAAGGATCTGACAATTTAGAGGAATAAAAGTTTATTTCAGGGCTCATGGTTTCAGAGAACTCAATCCATAGACAGTAGGCTGCATTCCACGGGGCTCTCTGGGAGGCAGGACTTCATGGTGGAAGAGTATAGCAGAGGGAAGCAGCTCACATCATGATCGGAAAGCAGAGAAAGAAAAATTCCACTCTCCAGATACAAATATATACCCAAAGCCACACCCCAATTCCCACCTCCTCCAACCACACCCTACCACTTCAATTGCCATTCAATTAATCCCTGTCAGATGATTACTTCACTGATTTGGTTAATACTCTTAGAACTCAATTATTTCTTCTCTGAACCTTCTTGCATTGTCTCACACCTGAGCTTTTGGAGGACATTTCATATCCAAACCATAACAAATGGACTGAGAGCATATACCCCAGGCATTCAATTACTTGTATAATATTTTATTCCCTAAAATGAAAACATCTGAGGCAAATGTGGCAAAATGTTAAGAGTAAGCAAAACTGAATGATGATTAACTTGATGATATCATTTTATTCTCATTCTGTATGCTTGAGATCTTTCATTACTTTTAAAAGATAAACGTGCAAATAAAATAACTATTCTGAAAAGAAAAGCATAAAAATTAATTCCTAAAATATAAAATATATGTTTACTGTATTATGATAAAAAGTAAGTTTCAAGCAAGGGAATAGAGATAGATGTTTTAAATATTATATAAAATAGGACCAAATGAAAATTAAGAATCTAACAACATAGAATAAAATTATATGAAGCAATAATTTTCAAACTTTATAGAGAAATTCATAAATATGCCATTGAGTGAGAAAGTTACAAAAGATTTAAATAATACAGAAGATTTAACATCATTTAATGTAGTTAGTAATTTGATAGAATGAATAGAAATAGAAACTTACTCCCCTCAAATAGAGATTTTTTATACTTATTAATAGCAGTTACTATATTGAAAAATATATTTACCAAAACAAAAACAAATTTAAAAAAACAGGAAGGAAGAAAGAAAGGAAAAGCAAATATAAAAGAAAATATCCAAAGTGAAAAAATATGCTCTGATTCAACAGAGTATATAACCAAGCTTGTACCATAATACCCATATTTGGAAACCAAAATCACAGTTAAGTAAATTTTTTTGCAGTGAAGCAGGATCTATAATAACAATTGTATTAGGAAAAATAAATTTAATTTCAAAACGAGTTCTTTGGAGTTGAAAGGATTCTTAGAATGATATACATATTACATATAAACATATGTATCTTAAACAGAAGAAAAAAATGTCTGAAAATTAGCTTTCCAAATCCAACCCAAAAAGTTAAAAAGAAAATAGCATAACCAAGGAAAATAGAAGGAAGAAAACAATAAGAAAAAAAATGAAATAGAAATTAAATATATAAATAAAATAAAATGCTGGTTCTTTGGAAAAATAACRAAAATGGTTGTTTTTATTATTTTTACTCATTACTGGCAAAGTAGTAAAAGAAAAAATAGACAATATACAAATGGCACTAATAGCAGAAAAAGAACTGGCAATATAAATATAGAAATTTAAATTCAAGGTAACTTGAATTAATAACTTTATGCCAATTGTAGTGAAAGAAAAAAATTCACCTTTACCTTCTTAGGTTCATGACTGAATCCAAAAATTAAATCTAAGACAGATTAGCAGGAGAAAAGCATGAGAATTAATTACTACAAATTTCACAGGATGCAGAAGCCCTCCTAAGGAAATGAAGACAGGCAGGCAGTTAGAGCCCGTCACCTCTGTGCTGTGTTGGATGAAGATTGGAGTCTTGACATGTGATGAGGAGACAGGAGGGTTCTGGGAGAGTTAACTGGGTGAAGAACTAAGAAGGAGGATCAAGGTGAGTTTAACAAGGTTTGTACAGCTTCCACAAGCTTTAAACTTTAACTTACTATCCCCGATAGCAAGAATGTTGCCTGTTCTCCAGGGCATCCTTCACTTAGGAATTTCATCTTCGTCGCCTGAGAAGCAGCACACAGATCAGGGTGGACTTCTTGCACTTGTTTTATTGCATGTCTTTAACCTGGCACAGTCTATAAAGAAACCTCTGTGACTAGCTGTAATTCTAAAAGCAGACAAAGACAATAAGGAAAAAGGAAAAGCATAGCCCATCTCACTTAATCATAGATGCAACACTTAATTAGCAGCATTGTTCATGATAGCATGAACAGGTTGGGCTATCTTACAAATTCAAGGGTTGCCCAGCACTAGAAAATCTACATTTTAAAAAGGAAAAGACAAACTAAAAGCAGGGTGTATGACACGACTCAACACTGATTCATGATTAGAAAACATTCTAGCAAGCCCAAAATAGAACTAAATATGAAAATTTAAGAAAGGGCATCTTACAAAAGCTTCCAGTAAACATGATGAAATATTATAAGYTTTTTCATTAAATTTAGGAATAAAAAATAGATGAGCATCATGACTGACATTACCATAGTCTGGGGAATCTGAACAGCCCAGACAATGTACAATTCAAGAGGAAATCAGTACTCAAAAAGTGCATTTTAGCCAATCCCTTAAAAACAAATGCCAAATGTTTTCTCTGATATAAGGGGGGTGACTCAAAATGGGATAGGGAAGAAGAGCATGAGAAGAAGACTACCACTAAATAGGGAAGAGAGGTGGGAGGGAAAAAGAGGGAGAAAGGGAGTTGCAGGGAAGATGGAAGGAGAACCTCATTATTATACAGAATACATATATGATGTTGTRATGAGAAAAAGAAAAAAGAAAGTGTGTCACATTAGATTGGATAGAAAGGATGGGAGAGGAGGGGAGGAGTAAGGAGGACAGGAAGGGCAGCAGAATAGAATTGACAATATGATTGATGTATTAACATTCCATGTATACATTACATGTCAAAATTCATTCTGCTGTCATGTATGACTAAATAAATAAATAAATAGATAGATAGATAGATAAATAAATAATACCAGGAAAAAAAGTGCATTTTAGGGAAAACTACAGACTTTGCTAAGAACCATAAATTGAAATCTGAATAAGTAGCAAGGGATATATACACATAGAGGTTCCAGCTGAGATCAGGACTGAGAAGGATGCTAGTCAACTTCACTTTTACTAAATATTGCACCAGAAGTCTCAACCAGGGCATTAAAGTCACAGATTGGATACTATTTAAAGAGATTATAAGGAAGAAATCAAACTACCTTCATTTTCAAATGAAGTAAATTTATAACAAAGACCCCCCCCAAAAAAGATCAATTAAATTAGGATCCATGAGATCCTACACACACACACACACACCACACACACACACACACACACACACACACACACACACATATCCTAAATATGTACCCTCACACAATTGACTGCAGTTCTTTATACCAGTAACAAATGAGGAGGGGGAAGGCATGGGAAAAATGTATGACCTTTGATTGGGCAAAGGGGAGGGAGGGTAGTGAAGGTGCATGGGGGCAAGCAAGATAGTGAAATGAGATGGACATCATCACCCTAGGTACATGTATGGAGTGCTACACTCTAGCACATATGGAGTGATGCTACATTGTGTATAACCAGAGAAATGAAAAATTGTGCTGCAATTGTGTACAATGACTCAAAATGCATTCTGCTGTCATATACKCCTAATTAAAAGAAATTAATAAATAGAAAAATGAAATTTAAAATTGCTACAAACCAATACCTCTGATAATCATAGTGAGGCCCTCAAACAACAGTATCTTCCTGTTCTCTCTCCTCCTATCTCAATTAGTTGTATATCCTTAAAGGAGGTCTAGCATAGTAGCTATCATCCTTCCCCTGTATAAACTTTTAAGTTAAATATATACTATTCATAATGTGATTATTATCTCAAAGAGTTCTTTAGCTTCAATCATGGAGCAAACATAATAATCGTAGAAGTAGATAATTGTACTCCAGTTAATGAGTTAATGTGTTTATGCAGGAGGATAATAGTAGAAAGGAGCTTTAGCTTCATTCACTTTGAGATGCATTTCAATAGACAGTGTATCAAGTAAGACTTATGGAAGGGAATTGATTGATACAGAGCTCTTGCTTTAGGAGCCCAATTAAATAACCCAAAATGGAGTTACTCAGGCTAATGTTTAGATGCCACCAAACTAAACCAAGACTCTTTACTCATTCGATAGGATCATCCAATAAATCAGGAGAGAGGAAATAGCCAGAGACCTAAACAAGCCAGTTTGCAAACATAACAAAAGAAAAAACCAGGAAATCATAGCCACCAATCACTCAGGGCCAAGTCAACCCTAGGTAGCATGGTAAGGAAGTCCTTCCATTTTAACCCATACCAGGAATGTGTGAGTGAGAAAGATGTTGCCAATCTGCTCTTTGCACTATTGCTCTCTCCTTGTTATTGCTCAGGCTTTCCTGAAATCACCAACGGTGGTCACAATCAGTGGAGCTCCCACCTGTTTTGCAGACTGGATGCCATCTGGTTCATGAATCATTAACAAATGACACATTTTTTAATTTCTTGAAGTTATGTTTTTTCATTGTGTAAATAGATAAAATGTTTGGCATATCTACAACAATCACTTTTTTCCTACATTATCATTCATACCAATAATACCATAGTTGATTATGGGGAGGGAAATATCAGTTTGTTCAAAAGATAATAAATATGACCATCAGCATGAAGTATTCATGAAATCCAAATTTATCATTGCCTTATTTCTCATAACCTGAAGTAAGGTTATGAGCATCATTCCCAGCCATTATCCAGAGATCATGATTGGATAAATGATTAAATACAAATATAATGGTCCCCTAAACCTAAACCATGACGGTCTCCTAAATGTCTCCCATAATCTATCAACCCTATGTCTATCCTAGACAGCAAATTGAATGGGATGTCATCAGTCCCTGGAAGAGCTGAAAGAAATGATGCTGTCAACAAGGCTACTTGGCCAAGTTTTGGTGATGGTAGAATGTCCTGTGGATATGATTCCTATCAGGATAAAGCTAATGACAGGGGAGTAGCACATACATTTTGGGGTTAGACTTTGGTTTCAGAGTTTCACTTTGTACAGCATACAGTGAGGCCAGCAGCAGGAAGTGAGATGGGGGCTGGTCTTTTTTGTGTCTCATGAGCAGCCACAAGTAACATTTTTTGTACTGTACAGAGCAGATTTGAATCACTGTGACAGGCACTCCAGTAGGCACAGTAATACTCAGCAGAATCACTCTCTTCCAGATTTCGCACTGTGAATTTATATCTCTGGCCTGTGCCTTCATACACATGGTATTTCACTGGATCGAGTCCTGAGTCCATCACAATCTTGGAATTGTAAAAGTCATGGAAGAGAAGGTGTTGTGGGGCCTTCCCCTCCTTGAGTTGGTACCAGTGGATGAAATTTCTTTCTTCAGCAAAATCACAAGTAATTACTGCAGTGGACCCAGTTGTTCTCCTGAATGACATCATTCTCCTTTCCAAACTGGAAGATGTTTGACTGCCTGAAATGGTAATAACAATAAAAATTAATGAAAAAGAGGTAATGGAATTCTTTGTTGTGGTTTCTTTGGGGGAAAACGACGCCCCATGATCATCTGTGCCACATACTTACCAGGAGGCAGGGTGGCTAGAAGTAGGGCTAGAGCCCACAGCATGCCTTCTTCCCTGGGGCTTGCATGGAAAAGGACCAGATGATAAGACGAGAAGAAAAACCTTTCAAAACTCAAATCCTACTCAAAATGGAAGTGATCCTTCCAACAGTGACCTGGAACTGATCCTCCTGACTGAGTCACAGGGAAGGAGAAGTAACGGAGGAGCTGCCTGAGAAGACAACCCAGCTGTTTACCCAGAAGGAGTGGTTCTGGGAGGAGCCCTTGCCTCTTTGCTGCTGCCCACTTCTCTAGCACCACCCTGTGATCACTRAAGGCAGGCCCTCTGCAGAGGAGAAGCCAGGAGCCTGCATTGCTTAGAGATAAGCAGATTGGGTGCAAATGTGGTGGGAGGCAGAGCCCTGGAGGAAACTTCTCTGTTTGCCTATGGAAACAAGAACATGTCCCTGAAATTCAGTTTCAATGTTAATGCTGCTGCCTTCATCTTGTCCTGAGATGAAACTTTTTCATCATGGCCCTGACTACTTCCACTTAATATTTGTAAAATAGATTTGGGGGCAACCACCAAATGCAAATCTGATGAGCCTTGAATCTACCTTATTAAAAGAGACTGGAATAAACGATGTCAGCTACAAATGACACTCCTCAAAAAATGGTGATAATTGTCTCTTTGTATACAAAAATCTATTTCTTTTAATTTGCTGGTAATACTCAAGTATTATAAAAAGTCTCCTCAGAGATCAGGTGGGTAATTCAGTTTAAATACGTGTGTGTGTGTGTGTGTGTGTGTGTGTGTGTAAATATATATCTCACGAAATATTTGGAGTTAAACTAAAAATCATTTTTATCTGAAATTCAAACGTATCTGGGTATCCTATATTTTATTTGGCAAATCTACTCTCAAAAAGTATAGTGATATCTGCAATTGATTTCAATTGATTGATGGATAGATGATCAAAGCACAATAAGGATAGAATTTAAGTTGTGCTTACACAGATGTTGACCCACCAATATAACTGGATATGTGTTTAAATTGTAGGACAATATCACTATCCGTCATTGTTCTAGCCTCTCTCAGGTAATTTGTTTTCCAYGACTATGACATCTGAGAATCTAGAAAGATAGGAGACTCTGGTTGGTCTCCCTTTGACCTGAAGGACCAAAAATATAGAGAAATGAGCCTGCAGACAAGCAGCTCAGAAAGCAGAGGGCTCCAGGTCACATGAAGGACAACCTTCCAGGCGCTGGTAAGATCCAGAGCCTCAGAGCCTAGAAAGTCCTTGCTGGGATAGAAGACTCATGGTTTGTAGATGAAAAAGGAGAATACTATCAACATACCAGAGTGGAAAGAAGAGTCTTAAAACAAAAAAGTCATAAATGAAATTAACTCAGTCTGGTATGGTGTTACACATCTGTAATACCAGTTACTCAGGAGGTGGAGGCAGAAGAAGAGCAAGTTCAAGGCTGGCTTGGGCAACTTGGTGAGTCCTTGCCTCAAAATAAATAAAAATAGCCAAGAACTGGGGATATAGCTCAGAGGTACAGCACCCTGAATTCAATCCTCAGTACTATAAATAAACAAGAAGGAAGAGAAGGAGGGGAAGGAGAGAAGGAGAAGGAGGAGGAGGAGGAGAAAAATTATAAGAGAACTATATAAGTTAAAATGTAGAAAGAGGTCCACATATGTAACATTTTAACCTATGATAAAGTTGTACATTCAGTTCAGCAGGGAAGAATAAATTCTTTTTGTAAATTGGCTCACTATATGAAAACAAGTACTATTGAATTGCTACCTTACAAATAGAGATTTAGGTGTAATAAAACTGAAAGCACATAATGCATTAAAACTTAATATTGGTAAATTTACATATAAATCACAAGTGAGACAAGGCTTCCCTAAACCTTACACCAAAAGCAAAAACTGTAAGGAAAAAAATTGTAGATTTTTTTTTTACAAGTATCATTTAAATTTCTAGTCACCAAAAGTTAACAAAAATACATTATCAAGTTTTTTCAACACATTTGTTAGGAAAAATCTTAATATATCTAAAATGTTTAAGAAACCTCTTACAAACAGTAAGAATAATACTCCAGTAGAAAAATATGGGCAAGGGGTATAAAATGGCAATTCATTAAAGAATAAATGTAAATGGCCATTAAACTCGTGAAGTAACGCTAGCTCCCATTGTAGATGAAATGCAAACAGAATTTACCAATCTGTCTTTTTTTGAACCACTGTGTTGGATTTCAAACACTGATTCCAATCCCCTACCACTTCAGATTTTATAACTAGAAAAGCCAATAAACCCCTCAATTTCTCAGCTGTTAAGTCCAGCAATACTTGAACCCTCAACAGTCTTTTGGTAAAGATTAAATGAGATCATATATGCAGAGTGCTTAGCACAGTGACTACCAGAGAAAGAGGGTCCATAATTAGCATTTACTAATACTAACACTACTAACACCATTACTAGTACTGCTCCTACTACTTCTGTGTAATTGTTATTTAAAAATTGCAGCAGGATCAATGATACAAATACTAAATAATGAGTAAATAAAAACATTAGAAGAATAGTATGGGTTTCATTCTGCATAACCTTACTTTGGAGGCTGCTTTTCAAGTGAAGCATGATACCCAAATGCTATAAAATAAAAGAATGATTAAAATGTATACAAACTGAACACCCCAGAACCACAATATAAATACCAAATTCAAATAGAAGTAATATACCCTACACATATGGTGAATAAAAGATTTGATTCTTGTAAGGAGACAGTTATTGTTTGAGTACATTAGAAAAAGTTAAGATATTCAATAAAACTAATAAGAATATTCTTACTATAATGTGAGGAAAGAGAACAGAAATCAAGGAGGGATATAAAAACTCAAAATGGATCTTGTCTTCTAAGTTGAGTTTAGATTCATGTAACTGTCTTACCTATATAAAACAAATATTTTAAAAAGAAAAACAAATTGAATTTTAAGACTTTAAAAATATAAACAGAAAGAAATGGAATTACCTTTACAGTAAAGATGCAATAAACATATACAGTAGAATTATTTAAAATTGAATTTTACTTGAATATCCTAAACAAAAGAAGAAATGCAAGTAAGCAAGAAGTTTAAACGACGTCTTCTAGACTGAGCATTGTCAGTAATCATAGTATTGTTTATATTTATATTTTTATTTGTATTTTTATGTGCTTTGGTTGGCACTGTTAGAAATCAACATTTCATTGCAAGAGAAAAGTACAAATGTGAAAAATAAAAATCTAAGTAAAAACCTTACTATCTATAATTTAAATCAATCTTCTCTAAGAAATAACTTCTTTTTAATGATCCACTATAAAATATTTGAAAGCAAAGCAATCCCAGAAGCAATGAGCACTTCTAGCATTTTTATTGATGTATCTAGAAATTAACTCTCACTCCAAGCATTAGGGCTGAGTTGAGAAATGGTGAGATCAAGACTGGGGCTTGATTATACAAAATAAAGCCAGGATGTCTTGTCTATCTGAAAGCAGAGATGCAATTAAAGATAACTGAGGTCAAGACCAAGGATAATGAAGCCAACTGCAGTGCTCCTGATTGGACATAAACAAGATACTGTAAGGACTAAAGATGCCTACACAAAAATTTTAAAGAATACAAATATTTTAAAACACAAGAATTCACCAATAAAACTTTCAGAATTGAAAAATGATAGGCATCTCCAGAGGCATCATTATTCTGAACATAGAAATGAAAAGAATATGTAATCACTGTACTTCTTGGGGACTGAACTCAGGGGCACTCCACCACTGAGCCACATCCCCAGCCCTCGTTTGTATTTTATTTAGAGACAGGGTCTTACTGAGTTGCTTAGCACCTCACTTTTGCTGAGGCTGGCTTTGAACTCTCAATCCTCCTGACTCAGCCTCCAAAGCCACTGGGATTACAGGCATGTGCTACCATGCCCGGCTTCAACATGCTTCTTTATGGAAGTATTAGGACCAATAAGTGTAGAGAAAGATACTAAAATTAGAAAACTACCATGACACAATCCCAAAGGATGGAGTCATGAATTGTTCTCCAGCTTGACCACACATACTGGTCCTATTTCTCTCTCTACCCTTCTGGTTCTCTGTCTTCCCACTGATCTCTCTTACCCTTTATATCAGTCTTCCATCTGTAGGTTCACATACTTTTTCTTTTTTATATTTCCCATTACTGCTCATTCTTTTATATTTTTCTCTCTCCCTTCCAGGTCTTATTCTCTATCTCTTCAGTTTCTTACTGTCATTTTTATCTGTTCTACATTTCCATTTCTACACATCTGTTTCTTATTTCTGTCTCTGTCTACCTGTTTCTATGATCTTTCTCTATTTCTCCCTTTATCTCTTGCATTTATTTTACTTCCTATCTTTGTCTCACTTCCTGTTTTTCCATTTCTTTCATGGTCATGGGTCACGATGGCTGTCTTAAACTACTTATTCTTCCAACCCATGTGTCCTCTCAGAATTGGCATCTGTGTGTTGACTTTTCCAGGGTGAGACACAGAGAGATTTCTGGTTCACTGTGTGCTGAGTAATTGTGCTTTATATCTTKCATATTTTGAATACTATGTTGCAAGGCACTACACCTTATTTACATATATGCAGAATATTAAGGTTTTTGGCTAGCAGGCACCCGATCCAACATGGTATTGCAAGTTCCTACAAGCTTCAGATGGGTGGTTCCATTCGGTTCCCTTTACAAGCCTTTACAGTGCTACTCAGATGTGTCCTGTGTGTGTGCTACCCAGAGACCACTCTGGAAACCGAGCAGGGCTCTAATCCTGCTAAGTCTTTGGTAGGCTATTTAGGGTCATACTTAGGCAGGCACAGCTTGGGGAAAACTCAGGACCCTGAATACCATTGCATGGGATTTCTTTCTTAATCTCCCTCTTCTCTGCCATYTCTACAGCACTTGCTGATTTGTGGGGGTCTTCGATCCCATGGCCACATAGGTGGGGTTCTATAAACTGCTGCAYTGTGCCTCTCCTTCAGAGGGTTGGCATCCCGGGCCAAGCAGTGAGAG